ATTCGCATTCCCCTCTCAAAAGTACACTTCAAATCTTGTGAACAAGTAGCTTTGAGACTGTATTGAGCTGATCAAAATGTTGATATTGAATTATTGAATTGATATTTTGATACAGACTAGGCTTTTGATATTTTTGTGATAATTGAATTATTTGGAATTTCTCAATTAAAGACATTGTAATCTCTTTCTTGTGAGAAGAATGAAGTGAAAGAATCTTCGTTACTTTTAATATTTTTGATATTTTAATTAGTTAGTTAATTTGTTACTTATTTTAATTAAATAATTCATAAATTAATTAGTTAGTATGGTTATTCAAAACACTATACCTAATTAAAACATTATTACCATATTCTTTTTCTCTTTCGAACTATAATAATTTCAGTAGAAATTGGCATAGAACTTAGATATTATTTTTATATTATTCTTATATTTGTTTAATTATCTCTCCCAACCCTTGTTCACGTTTATTAGCTAATTATCCAATTAGTGAAAAACATATAATAATATACAGTTATATTCTTTATAGTTACCAAATTTTGCTTTCCTACAAACTACAAGTAAAAACTATAGAGGCATTTAATTGTATTATATACTTTTGTATTTCTACAAACTCCAACTTTTATAATATCATGGTGACTGTTTGGTGAGAAACAAAACCACTAAATATTTGGACTAAAGCGAGACACAAATAAATTACTCAAGTTTCTAATGCCTAATATTGCTTCTAGAAGTTCGAAATTTTGCTGAAGTATAATTTCCGCTTAGAGCTAATTGAAATTAATTTAATTTCTAGATATTTTATAAGATTAAAAGGTCAAAATTTACAGGGAAATGAATACCAAATCCAATGTTGGATGTTATTGTCAATGAATTATTTTGATTGCCAATATAAAATCAAGCGAGATAAAATGTGGTTGAAATACTTCATATACTTCCTATTTTTCAATATCCAAAATAAACTGATTCACCAGCCTCAAAACGACAATTTTATGAGAATAATTTGAATTCTGTTGTAAGATTTTCTGAAAAACAGCACACGAACTATGAACGCCAACTTCCTTTTATTACCTAATTAGTGTTTCTTATTAGTCTGTGTGAAAGGAATAAAACGAGAAAACTTAAGGGATATGTAAATTTGTATTCCGAAGGATTTGATTATAGCCGTCAATGACTTCAATAGAATAATTACAAATACCTTGCATCCATCAAGGCTACCCCATAATAATTAATTCAAATTTGAGTTCTTTTGTACATGTATTTTATCCATTCTGCTTTTTTGTACGATTTGAAAAGAAACGATTATGATTGATAATTCAAGACGTTTATTCGATGTGAATAGGGAGATTAGTTTCAGTTGAATCAGAATTTAGCACAATTACCAAAACGGCTTTTCCCCAAATTTAACTCTCTTCCAGGTTCAAGTCATTTTGTGTGAGCGTAGAATTGAATAGGCAAAATCAGAAGCTATTCATATTTGTGTGACATAGATATTTCTATTAACAAATCTTGAGAAACACTGGTATATTCACTATTTCGTCGAGTAACAATTCGTCAATATATCCACAGTGCTCGTCATATATAATGAGAATGCTGTTTTTCTTTATTGTGCTATGAAAAAAAACGAAAATATATGAAAATTTGCAGATATATGGTTTCGTATATTGCGATCAAGTTTACTTTATAGAATATCCTATTGTAATTACTTCCAATTATCTGATTTTTGTTTTGATATATTACGAACAAGTTTTTTTGAGGCAACTTAACAGCTTAAAATAAAAATGGCGTATTTTTCTCATTATATATGGCGAGCACCACTATCGCTATCGTTATGGTTGTTAAGCTTTAATATGACTAGTCAGTCGTCTCAAGGAAGTTTTCGTGGTAATTTTAAATCCACGCCACGTTTAGACCAAGTCTGACTTCCTTTTTTAGAATTTATTTTATTTTCATTATTATTATTGTTGTTGTTGGTGTTCGATCCTTCGTTTTTCATTATTAAAACTTTGATTGTGAGGCAATTCATTTATCAAGATTATGCATGTTCATGTATATCGATATCATTATACGTAACGGTAAACGAATGCACATATCATTCATTTACAGAGAGGTTTGACAAAAAAACTAGTATCGGTATTGAGATACAACAACAACATCGTCGTTATTACAATCAGCCACCTTTAGTATACATTATAACGATAAATTTTTCCAAATTAAGAGAGAAACATCCAGTAGTCAAATATTGGTTTACGATAATGACAGCTTTCAAAGCAAAAGGAACATTTGAATTTCTTTTGGCGAACGTTTCCAAAATGACGAGAGGAGTGTATAGTCCACCGTTTGGCACACACGAGGATATGTTTTGGCAACTGGAATTTACGCCCGTAAAATCTCACTTTTCTATCGCATTTTTTCTCGCCGAATACGACGACCCAAACTAACGTGCGAATATTTTATTCAGTCGTGTAAAGATGACCCGGAATATTGTTCGGTTTATTTGTGTGCGATCGCAAACAGTGAGGAAAAAAATTCAACAGAAATATGGACGAGACGTAACGAGATCTCGGCTACCCTGTTTTTAAGGGTTCCGGCGTCAGATCCATCGACATCCCTGGACAACACGTGAGAATATTATTTGTCAAATTTTTTTATCGTTTGAAATGAAGGATGCTATTAATGCCAATAGTTGTTATTAGCCTCAACATAAGGAAAAGCTTATCGCTCGATGATTATTCAGCAACGTTTCCATTATGGGGTATGCTAGCCATTTTTTTTATTTGTTACCACTTTGTTTTTGCTATTATACTTGGTGTTAATATACGCACGAATAATTTATGAAAAGGTTTTGACTGTTTCTGCAAAAGATCAGTTCTACCCGATGAAATAATGCTCGGAGTAATATTTGACAAGACAGAATTTACACCGTGGAGCATGAAAACCCCGTTTCCCACGAAACCAATACCCGATCCACTGATCGATGCTTGGTCCACTACGCTCAACAAGCAAGAGACGGTCGATGTACAATTCAACGTGAAAGGAACACTCATATACGCGAGTAGCACAATACTTTCGAAACGATCAGAATATTTTCAAAAGGTGTTTCAAGAGAAATGGTCGGAATCACAGAAAAAAGCACCGAAACAACGACAAAATTCCATTTCCGGATCGTTGCATTCCTCGTCATTGAACAATAACAATAATGAATCGACCTCGACGTCTTTACAATCGTCGAAATTGCCACAGGCTGTGTCGAGTCCGCCAAATGGGTACAAATTTGTGGTCGATGTACCGGATTTCGATCACGCTACTTTTTTGGAGATGCTGAGGTTCTTGTATACTGATCAAGTGCTGTTCGATGATAAATTGGAATCACACAAATCGGCGTTGGGTAATTTGCTTTTTCCTCACCTCTCTCAATCTGAATCGCATGATATTAAAAAACTAAAAAAAGCCAATTCTGTCAAATCTCAAGATTTATTTGCAATCGCTGACAAATACTTGATTGCCGATTTACGACAACGAGCGAAAGTGAAAATATTCAAAGATCTAAACGAAGACAACGCAGCTGGTCTATTATTCGGTGCAGCGTGGAAATGGCCGGACTTGAAAGAACATGTGATGAAATACGTGGTGGAGAATTTCAAGTCTGTACGAAAGACACCTGCATTCAAAAATGCAATCTTGAATCCTAGTTCTCATCCTCATTCTGGTGAACTTTTCATTGAAGTGCTCGAAATTTTAGATCCTTGATTAATATATTATTTGTTATGTTCAATAGACTTGCCGTTGCATATTTATATTTCATAATTTCATCGTTATATTACATGTACAATGCACGATAGTATGACCAAAATGTCTACGTCACATTGACGCGTGTGAACTTTTCATTGCATAAATATTATCGGTATACATGTACATGTATAAAATAACATGTGTTTGTAAAAAAAATATAATTTTAATGCTGTTTCTTGACATATTTTTTAAAATGTCAAAATTAATGGGACACACAGGACGGGTTCCCTAGTATCTAGAACCGAGTAAAAAGCAACAAAAATCGAAACAACCACCATCAGAATAACGAGATTCCTATGAATATAGAAACGAAGACTTGCACTTGAACGTATTGGGAATCAAGAGATGGAATATCGAAAGATAAATTTAATAAACCATTTCATCACACTAAGTTTCCATCGAAAATGAATAGAAAATCAAACATTTTTAATTTTTCAGTTAGCGCAAGCAATCACCAAAATGGCGGATTGTCAACGTGGATTATACCAGACGATTGAATCGACAAATGACAATATAGTGCCGAAGTATTCGCACAGTTACCAAACGATGACATCAGCAACAACATCTATACCGCTATTAATATTAAAGAAGATGTAAAAGTACCATTTTAGCCTTTGCTCGATTCACAAACACCACCACAAATTTATCATCCTGTTTCACAGCCAATCACGATAATAATAACGATAACAATAACGATATACCATCATCTCCAAACACTATCTCAGAATACTGCAAGTCCCCAAAAAATAAAATAAACAAACTACACGCAATATCATCCTCCTTGAATGTAATGTCTCATCTGAACTTGATGTCAACATTCTAACTTGAGCGTAGGTTCAGAGCTAGGAGGTTGTTAAATAGCGAGGCATGCCCGAGGCTGGTAACAGAGCAGGGAAAACTCCAAATGATATCGAAGAAGTCGACCAGGCAAACGCGAGAAATGAAATTTACTACGACGATAATGGTTGACACGTGAATTCCGTGCACACTACGAACGACGCGCAAGACTTGACGATAACGTCCCCAAAAAAGGTGTCGTTTACGAGTTGGAGTACTATGTTTTATTAAAAAATTCACCTTTTTTGAATGACATTACTAAAAAAATTTTTAAATTACAAATATATTCTTTATGTCATAAAATTTTTTTCAAAGCCATTACATGCGATCGAAAAGTGGATTAAAGCGGAGATTGCACTTTGGGGTGAATTGTCAGAAAAGGATTTTTGGTTTGATTAGATTTTAGAATTATTTGTGCTTCACTATTAACGTTTAATTTTTACGATATCGATATGGGGTACAAATCTATTTAACAAATTGTAGTATTTGTCCAAATATTGCTTCTGAAGTCGCAGCCACAAATCTACTCGGAATTAATTTTATACATGTAATAAAAATATAACGATAAATTTAAACTTCGCCAAATAATGTTCCCAGATGATGCAAATTTATTGAAAAATGTTGGGAGCCTATTCCAGAAAACAGACCAACTTTACCGATCAGATGATATGTCCCCCAATTGGTATTTTACTATGTTCGATTGACATCCAGCATTCATAAAACATACGTACTGTTACTGGTTAGTGACCGATTATAAGAATTAGCCGCTAATCTGTAACTTGGGTGGGAGAAACAAATTAATCTAAAGTTATTTTATTTGTTAGTTTTCAAAGGTTCTGTGCCAATATCTTCGGATATTGTTATGTCCAACTGTCAGTT